AAAAAAAAAAAAAAAAAAAAAAAAAATTATCGCCAGTAATAAAAACAACAGCAGCTAACTCGTGAGTGATTATCACGAGCAAAACTCACAGAGGATCTCAGTTAATTGTCTGAACATCTCTGTACAGTGCTATCACTTTTTCCTTTTTAAAAATGAGGGGGGGGGAGAAGTTTGGGAAAAAATAAATGTTCTACAATATTTTTTGTAAGTCAAGTTCATAGTGGTCTGTGGAGGGCAGGGGGCTAAGGACAGCTTTAGCTTCCAAGATAAATCAGCCAGATATGAGCAGCTCAGGTAACCTTGTGACTACATTGCAATGGCTGCTATTTGGTTCCGACCTTGAGTTCTAGTTTCTTCAGGTCACATCCTTGATACACTGAGCATGAAGCCCAAGGGCAGGAGTCTTGCTGTGTTGTCCTCTTTCCTCGACACAGCCCATCAGCAACACATGCTGTGAATTTTCTCCGTGAGCCTGGAAGAGCATTTTCCTTGCACAGAGCATCCTATGGGTTCTAGATCTCAAACCCACTGTCTGATCACCCGACTCTTCTTTAAAAACCAGCCTTCATGTCTCAGGGGAAACGAGAGAAAGTGCTACAGGCAACCCAACCTCCCTGAATGAACACATTTTATAGCCTTGGTTAAAAAGCAACAGGACTTTACAGGTAGGTGCTCTTCTCCACACTGGCCAAGAGAAGTAGGATGGGCACAGAAATTCCTGAATTTAAACACAATTTAAGTCCTCTTAAAATTAAAGGTAAAACAATATAGCCTTTCATCTACTTTCCAAATTACGTGAATCTAAGAATTTTCAAATTATTTGTTTTGAAAATGAAATAATTAAAAGATTTAAATTACTATTATTCATTTTGAGACGAGGTGTTGCTATCTCTCCCAGGCGGGTCTTGAACTGCTGAGTACTAGCAATTCCCCGGATTCAGCCTCCGGTTAGTTGGGATTCAAGGTATATGCTGCCACACCTGACTCAGAATCATTTTGAAAATAACATAAGGGAAGTGGTCCAAGGGGACAAGGGTGAGGGGTGGGGAGGAGGGAAGGGGAAATAAGAAGAATAAAGATATGATGCCAGGTACAGGAACCTAACAGCTGCAATTAGTGTAAACACAAACATGTAAACATGAGTGTGAAAAGGGAGACAGGAGACCTGGAGGAGAGGGGGGAAGGGAGGGAAGAGGATTTAAAGAAAAAGAAACAAGCTGTAATATGTACGTGCAATCACTCCCCAAGATGATTATAAACTGCAGGAATTGCAAGCATGTCCTAACAAAAAATAACATAAATCACTGATTTATCACTGATTCTTACCTGGCTTGTCTGCGAAATACGACGAGTTCGGTTATAAAGAGCCATGCTGTCTCCTTCCCTAGTTCTTTCAATTCTCCAACCCCAAGCCAGCATAGTTTTTAACGATTCTTTAATTGGCCAGCGATAAATTTCTTTTTCCTAGAGAGAAAAAAGGAGAAAATAACAAGGATACTACGAACTAAAATGAGAACTTCAAATCTTCAGTGGTTCAGTGTTTTATTCGGAAAACATGGCCTTCATGTTTTAGAAATTTCATTAGTATCACTTATTTAAAACTAAAAACAAAGTCAAAGTTCTAAAGAGAAAAGTGTCAGTGAAGATCTCTGATGCCACTAAGAGATAAGAGAGGTCCTTGCTCTTGACAGCAAAATGAAGGTCAGTTTGATTCAGCTGCCCCAGCTCCTGACACCTTACACAGGAACTGAAATGAAGAAACAATTCAGAAAAAGTGCAGACTGTGTCGTCCAAGTGTGAAGGTTTGCTACCATCTGAAAAGAGAAGTGATTCCTCCTCAACCATCACACTACACCGGAAAACCATTTTCTCTCTCTCATGATGTACATTTTTCCCTCAAAGTAAAACTTATAAAAATGTATTTCTAACAAGCATTTTAACTACTGTTTTATCATCCATCATCAACAAAACTCTTATGCATAAAAATATTTTCTAAAGTTCCTAAAAACAAGGGAAAGAAAGGAAAATACTAAGAAGCGAGGAGAATAAGCAAAAGAATACTGATATATAATGGCAATGGAGAGAAAAGGATAAAATACAAGAGGATAAAACATGGAATTTTGGAGTAAAGGCAAAAATCATAAATATAATTTAAAGATATTTTAAGCATATATATTAGAAAAAATTCCCACCCCAAATTAAAACTTTTATAAACTTTAAAAAAAAATCCCTTACCTTTTCAGATAATAACTTATATGGCTTCATTAGTGGCTGAATCTTAGAAGAATCTGAATATATTTCTCCATAAATCCATCCATTTGCCAACTAAAAATTTACAGATATTAAAAATTGTTTTACACATATTAATATTAATAGGTATGCGTGTGGTTTGTGTACTTTATAGAAAAAAAACTAAAACGGACCAAGATAAGGAACCAGGGTTAAATTGCATCTAACTTAATATAAATATTCCCATCTAATCAGTGATACTTTTAGTAATTATCTGCAACAAGCCTCTCTAATTCAGACATCAGATTCACCCTGTCTTCCTTAAAAAGACCCAGGTCTGTGATTGTGCTCATGAACCGTGCTGTAGAAGGAGGCTATGGGGCTGACAAGTTGACGTTTATCCTGGAACCCCACCTCTGACAAGTCCATGCGACACTCATTTTAAATAGGAGAACTGGAGAATACACCTCAGGATCTTCCCAGAATAATGCCACCTGCTTTGTCCACTGCTATAGCAATTCTCTCTCAATAGATCCGTCCCACATTATGTTTCCAATCTTCACATATCACCACTTTCCCCCACTATCGCACTAGCCTGCAGAATCCAAGCAACTCTATGGAAAAGCTCAGCACTGCCTTCCTTCAAAAGACTCCTTCACCAACTCCAGCCACTCAGGGATTAATGGAGTCATTGCATAAAAGAGAGCCTTCACTGGCTTAGGTAGTAAACCGGTGAATTCCTAAATAAAGAACACCTACCCTACAGAAGAACAAAAAAGGATTTAAGGGGAAAAGGGACCGGCTGGCCAAAGCATAATGCGAAACCAAACAGGGAATCTCACGTGAGTTACTAAGATATAAGCATTCTTTGGAACCTTCGCTGTTTGGTTTTCACTTTATCATACCTGCATGTCTGTATCTAAATTCTTGTACCATCTCAACTCAGTTTCTCGAAAAAAACTATTGGAGCCATCCTCTCCCTAGTTTAAACTAAACTCAACTCAAACATGAGGACACAGACATTGTACACATCTTCAGAAATCTTATGATACGTAGGAATAATCTCAGATTGCAAATGCTTTAGTTATTTCATCTGAGTTGTCTTTCTTGAAAACGTAAAAGAAACAGGTCACATGGCCAACAGAATTTATTTTTAGGAACTGCAGATCTACTTGGCAGTGGGAAAACAATAAACAGAAAGGCAATCATTAAATCTTAATTAAAATTTTCAAGTTTTTAAAATCTTAAAATGTGAACTCTGGACAGGGGTCACTCCTTCTGCCTGAAGCTTCTATTGATTTTTACCTCTTTGAACAGTATGTGTTCAGAAACTATATTTGTGATTTAATTAATGATCTTTTGAGATCTTAACATTCACAATCATTCATAGGTGCATTACATTTGTGTTAATTGCAGAACAAGCTAAATACTACATTAGCAAACTGTAACTACAGGCTCAATGTACATAAAGTAGTTCTCTTTTTAAAAGAGGCAACTGCCACGGTCAGCGATATTCAGGCAGAGACTGTTTGTAACAGCAACATGAATCGGGAGGCCAGGCTCTGACTCTTACCTTGTCCATTGACCATTTGTCATGAGAATGCTCGGCGTATTTGTTAATGAAGTATTCCAACTTCTCGGGAATTGTAATGCTACAAGAAAAACAAACAAAAGAAAGCTTGGTTTTCATAGAACCCACAGAAAATCACACTAAAATTTTACTCACAGCTTACGAATGCTCAGATTCCATTCAATCCATGACTATTAGAAAAATTTTTAAAAAGTATTACTTTTTCATATTTACAGAACAATATAAAAAAGTCAAGTAGGTTCTGTCTATTCATCTTAAATTGATGTTTTCTGTTATATATTAATATGACAAATTAAATGTAATAAAAATAACTATGATATTAAAATATATTCAAAGAGGAAAACAGCAGATTACACGAAAGAGAAAAGCCAACCCTAAATGAAGCTATGGTTAGGTACAAGATTAAAGACACACTTTTCCACCATACTCTTTCTTGGAAGCTTTCTTCCCTTTTTGATTTGTTATTTATACAACAGGTATAAATGCATAAATATTTCTGAAATCAGACCTGTTATGCTTTTTAATTAATTCCATACAATTAGTGTATTAGTGGTCTATAGATAATATTAGAAAAGCTACCAGTAGAAAAAATAATACTAATGATTTATGGTTTTGATAACATTTATTCTTGATTCTTCTCATGTTTAACTATTTTATCTCTTGAACAAGCATCAAGCACATGCAACTGATGACCATATCTGATGATAAATATAAGACTAGCAATACCTAATACATCAATGAATAGAAAACTGAATGGATATGTAATTACATTCATTAATGTATATAATTTACTAAAGCAATTAACTTTGAAAATAAGAGTTCTAGAAAAAATTTAGTATAATGAATGGCTTTCTCATCTTTTTTTTTTTCAGAAAAATTATCAGTTTTTTGGCATAACAGACCTAAGAAACAATATATAAAAAACATAATCATGTTGAAATTATTGATATCACCATGTAATTCTGTATCTGTTGAGAAGTCCCCCAAGGGACAAGCCTAGGTAAATTACTATACATGCCCAACACTTATAAATAAACTGGGATTAACCAATGCTAAAACCATGACATTCTCACGTCTTTTTAAAATTCTGGATTACACTGTTTGTTAGCAAACCACACACTTACCCATGTAGAAATGTGAGCTTGTGATGTTTTGGTTACTTACTTTGGAAGAGATAACAAAGGATCAATCGCATAAGCCAAATATTGGGGTGGGGGCAGAATCTTTTCTCACAGGACTGTTGTCAACACCAAACATGCAAATTTAAAGCATTATCAAACCAATGGCATGCCACTTGGCCCAAAATTTTGATCTGGTTATGGAAGCTCAATCAGCTGCAGCCTGTCTAGAAACCGCAAAGCTGAATTTGCAAGCAAAGTCAGAGGCAGCACATAACAACTGCCATGTGGTGGATGACCCTGCTAGCTAGAACTGATCTTGCTGAATCACCACGGAATCAGTAAGATAACGTGACAGGAGGAGCCAGCCTTCCTTGCACATAGGGAGCCATGGTCCCACTTGAAGACAGCAGCAATAATAAAATGTTGAGATCTCCAACACCTAAAGTACTCAAACACCTTGTTTGTAGAACAGGTTTTACAAGTAAGTATATATATGAAGTTTCGCTTAACTGGTATTTTATTTCTGGCGGAGGTTGTCAAACTACATTCTAAAAGCTCACTAAGTTTTTCACAAAAATCGCCATTACATAGGCCCTTCAATCTCACAATGTGCTTTATAACGCTAACCGTCAGCCACTCAGCCTGGGCCTCGCCAAGATGCAGCAGAGGGTGGAGGGTTTTTGCCACACTCACAGGAAGAGCTTTGTCACACATGCTGGGGTCATCCTAAGTAAAAGATGCTGCATAAAAGTTTAGTTATTGATAAACATTTTGGGTAAATTTTGAATTAAAAATATAGCTAATATACCTTCTTGATTCTCCTTATAGAAGGTAATGCCAATTATCTATATACAGGGAATCTCCATTATGTTTAGAGTGTCCCAGAAGGTATATCTGGTCTATTTCTGATATTAGCATAACCATTATCATCACCATCATTTGATAAACTAAAGGGACTCTTATTAAAAGGATATCAATTCAAAAGGGGCATGTATTAGAGAAAGTTCACTTCAGTACCTTATTCAATTTCAGACTTCACACATCATTTACAATAAAAATCTGCTGCAATAGAAAGAGTCCATACTTTGAGGTATCAACAGGTTGTGGGTTAAAGTTCCCTTCAGAATCCATGGAGGACTGTTTTTCCATCATACTGACATAATTGGACTCCATGTAGTCTGGGGGCAAAGCTCCCGCCACTGCACTCAGACAGGGTAGTGCCAGTTTGAAAAGTTCTTGTTCATATTTCTGGGAAGAAAAAGCAGACCAAGAAAATTTACTATGGGACTGGATAGCAAAAGTTGACAGCATATTGGCATGGTGAGCTGCCGCTGTGGGGCGTCTGAATTACCCCGGGCTCACTCAACTCCCTAACTACTCTTTCTCAAGCACATGGAACATACATTTTGAAATCTCAGCACATGTAAGAAAAGCAGGCTCACTGTGCTTCAGCTCATTAAGGAAAATACAAGCTTCACTTCTCAAGAGTGTATCTTCCCCTATTTCCAATGAAGTAGACTTTTGCAATGTCTTTACCACATGGACACAATTCCAGTCATCGAGGACTATATTCCTTATAGTGATAGGTTATTTTTTACCATGCTATAATGACTACACATAAAAGAACAGAGAAATGATGATTCTGCAGAGAGTGAAAACAATTTTAGTTCATCTACACTGTATTGCAAAAGTATGAAAAAATGAAATTCTGAGCTAGAAAAGAAATTCTATAGGAAGTGTATATACTAAAAATTTCTGGGAAGAAGTATTTGGATATTAATACACAATTCGTTAAATGTGCGATGTAGATTTTTAAAAATCAAAATAAGTATCTTACTTTAAATTTTCAATTTAAAAATTAATGCTGTAAATGTTTCTAAAACTATCTACATAGTAATTTAAAATGACTCAGTTTACTCAAAGAAATTCATTAAGAAAAAGCATCAAAATGTAGCTACTACTTGTAATTATGGATAAACTTTCCCATTTTGTATGTCAAGCTTGTAATTACACTACTCCAATCATCTGCTAGTGGCTAGTAGAGTACAGATATTGATCAATTTAAGTATCAGCCTACCAAATGTATTTTTATCTTCTTTGTAATCATTACCTGTAGTCATGTGAAAATAAACGAACTATTCCTTTTGATTACAAATGTAGCATAATGCCATAGAGACAAAAAAGTATTAAATGGCGATACTTAAATCTGCATAGCAACAAAACAGAGCATGTCAGTAGGCCACTGTAATATTCTAATTTGTAAGACTTTATATTTCATATTCTTACATTTGTTGTCATTTCTGCAGGCTAAGGATGGAGGGATAACTAGGAAGAATCTGAATCCAAAACAAATCTAAATGCATAGAAACATAACTATGTGCCTTATTTCCCTGAAAAGGCTTAGCTATGTTAAACTCAGAAAGTGTTACCATGACAAGCAATCTGCTACCATAATGATTATGAAAAATAAATATAAGTTGTATTCTCAACATTTTATTGAGAACCGGGAAAAAAATAAAACCACTTAAGTCTTCATTAGTAAAGGCACTAATTTTCCTGATGTTAGTGTTTCTAACTTATCAAGAACCTATACCTTTTAATCATTGTATCAATACAAATAAATGCACAAAACATTAAACTACCTTTTGAGACAGGGCATCAAAAATGCCCCAGAACAGTTTTCTTGATAAATGAAGTTCTTCCTCAGAGGCAGCACCAAAGTTGCCCCACCCTCCAGGCAAGCAGTAGTATTTCCAGCATCTTTCATAGTGATTCGTCAGCAGCTGATGGAAAAGTAGTTACGAAAGCACTGAGCTAAGGCACCTTTCGCATTTGTCCCATTCCCCTTCCTGTGACATTCTAATGCCGTGTCCTGTAATAAGGTCAACTGAAGGAAAATTGCTCAAGCCCATTTGAGTTCCATAGAAGGATACAATTACTTTGCATGCTAGGTTTTAAAATTTAACACTGAAGACAATGCAAGGATTAACGTTCAATTTTACAAATAATTCTATCTGTATCATTAGATTTTGGGGGGGGTGGTACTGGGGATCAAACTCAGGGCCTTGCTCTTGCAGGCAGGTGGCAGAACCACTGAGCTTAATCCCTGGCCCCAATAACTCTACCTGAATAGCAATTGTTATGAGTCTTTTGGATAGATCTGTGTTCTATGATCATTATTATCATTTATTCAGTACTATGAACTGTTATCCTCTGGAAATTCATGCACAAAATGAAGAGATTCATATCAGGATGACCCAAAAGCACAAAAAGCAACTGTATAAATGACTATTTTTGTTCCATCTCTGCCTTTTTTTTTTTTTAAACAGGGTCTCACTATGTAGTTGAGACTGCCCTGGAACTCACTATGTAGCCGGGGCTGGTCTCGAACTCACAGCGATCCTCCTGCCTCAGTCTCCCGAGTGCTGGGATTACAGGTGTGCACCACCACACCCAGCTTTCTACAGCACTGTTATTGAGTGGCCATGGGGGAAAATACCTACAATGTGTATTGCAGAATTGTGACTTGAAAAATACGTATTCTTTTAACTGTATTGAATAGTAAAGCTGGACAATTAAAATGTCAGTGACTTTTATACACTATGTGACATACTGTAAATATATATATATGAGGTCATCTTTGAACACTATGAAATGAAGTTTAGAACTTGTCCCATGATTACTATCTTAAAAACATTTCTAAAGGTTGCTCACTACCTCTTAAAGTTGCTAATAAGATTGGATACCAGGCCTAGGATCAGGCTTTTCAGTCAAAGGATATCAGCTCATTTCTTCCTCGTGATCCTTTTTTTATCCACTGATTTCCATGGTATCAACTGTAGGAATTCTACGATATTTTATCACTTGCTTATTATAAGTTAATGTGTACATTTCTGTAACTTACGTGGCCATTCCAACAACTGAGAGAAAATTCCACAAATCAAAGATCAAACATACTGTATCCAAGAGATGTACATGTAATAACAGGCAACAAGATCAGAGAAAACAGCAAATAATTGCAGATGTTTCCTGTAATTACCTTAAGGGGCATCTTTGTGTGTTCATTCAGCAATGGAACATCAAATACTAGCCGTCTGAGCAAATGCTGCATCATGGAGGGTCTCAGTTGGCTGTTGGAACAAAACCAGTATTAATAAAGAAGAGAAATACATCCAAAATAATTAGATAAATCATTAAACTAAAATATATAAGCCAATAACTTGTACCTATATCTGTCTTCAAATGGTATTTATTAGGTGTTGCTAGCCCAAAGATTAGCCAAGAGTTACAGTCACAGTCACGGACCACATAAAAATGTTTCAGTAGACAAAGAACTGCATAATGACAGTGCTCCATAAGATTACAGTGGATCTGAAAAACATTCCATAACCTGCAATGTCATAGCGGGGCATAATGTCATAGCACAGCACACTGTTCAAGTGTTTGTGCTGATGCTGGTGTAAACAAACCTACTGTACTGCTAGTCATACGTGGCACAGACAATGATCTGTGAAAAAACACATGACAATGAAAGCTAAATATTGGCTTACAGATTTCCTATACCTTTTTTTTTTTTACCTTTAGAGTACATTCATACTTTAAACAAAAACAGACAAGCAAAAAAGATTACTGTAAAGTAGCATGTCATGTTACACTGCAACAGCCTCATCCATCTCGAGTTTACTGAGTCTTCTGACTGCGTTAAGAGGCCATGTGGAGGGACTGACCAGATGGACTAAGGTTTGCACAAGTACATGCTATGATCTTGGCACGACAACAGAATCCTCGAACAGTGCACTTCTAAGGACATACCCCAGTCGTTAAGTAATGCATGACTCTACTTACATATCTATCTATCTATCTATCTATCTATCTATCTATCTATCTATCTATCTATATGGATGCATTTCCCAGCTCCGTCCTCAGACCTGAATTCCCTCTTACCCTCTCCTTCCCTCCTGACCACTCCCAAATGCAGCCCCATCATTCCTGGAGATCTCTCTCCATTAATTTCAGTAACTGCTTCTCCCCTCACTCCAGTAGATGATTGAAAGCAAGGAAGAACAGGGTGTAGGATCAAGAGGGAGGAAAAAAGGGACAGAGACAGCTACTCTGACAGAGGAGGAGGACAGAAAGAAAACTAACACACAGTGAACATCTCTGTGTCTGGCCACAGCAAATGTTTCCCTTTATTTGCCATTTAGAAAAACGCTCGGACACAGGTATTTCATTCTATTTTACAGAATCTAAGGGCATGGACGCTACAAAACTATTATGCCGTCTCTCCCACCCAATACACTCCACCATGGGTGAGACCTCCCTTCACCAAAGACTGCCAGGCCACGGGCCTTCCTGCCGGAGATCCCATCCAATTAGAAAGCAGCTACTGCTCTGGCTAGGCTCTGTCGTCTTCACCCTCAAAACCTTACTAGGTGAAGATATAGTTCATCTTCAGAGTGAGACATTTTGAACACTTGTACTCAGAGGAAGTTTTCCAGGCTAGAGGAGATACTCAGCCTTCATCCTTGCCGTACAGAAGTAATCTTTCAATATTATACTATAGAGATTGTAATGTTTAATGAGGGAGGTGCTTGTTTTCTTTCCTCTTCTGGATAAGGAATGAAAAAAATATCACACGAGTCAGAAGGGGGAGAATCTCTTCATATTACAATGTAGTGGTCAAGGCAGCCTGACACAATCATCTCCCCCAACATCCAGAGCAGTATTCTAAAACTATCTCAAAGCTACGTCCAATGGCTAGACACCTGACATTCCAGGGGTCAAGGGCGTTCTGGGAAGACTAATACCCCAGTACAGAAAACTTCCTAAAATGAATTAATATTTTGGTACAGAAAGTGCTCTCAAAATTCCTAACAATTCACTGAGATTCACCAAGTAAGTGTTTTCCTTAATGAAGAACAAAGCCGGGTAGAGTTACTTAGGGTTGTTACTTACCCACAGATGGAGAGTAAACACACTTCTATGGAATCCCGTTGGGCTTTGGTGAGCGAGCAGCCCTTAGAAAGTCTGTACACAGTGTGAAGTAAGGAGTCAATGAGGGAGGCATGGTGCTCCGTGCCAGCAAAGAGAGGAGCACATCGCGTCAACAAAGGCAGGACAGCTGTGCAAAGGTACCGGTTGAGGGCCAAAGCCATGTCTGTAGCACTCAGAGCAGCCTGCACGGGGGTGAGACAGTACAGAGCTATTTGTGTCGGGCAAAAGACAACTTTCAAAGGAAGCCAAAGGTCAACACAGAACTTTACCACCTGGCAATGATATCAGGATGAAAACCAGAAGGTCAATCTTTAAATGGGGGTCATGTGATCTATACCGTCAAAAGGAGTCAACTACCTGTTGTTCTTAAGGAGACAAAATAAATGAAATGACATTTATCTTCTCAAAAAGTGAAAAGAAGACTAGGCTCTATCATAAAATATCCACATAGAACCATGTAAACGAAAGACACCAATGATCTTAAAGATGTGAGAATTTTCCTGTGCCAGGGGACAAGAAAGGAACTCATTTTCAGAATAGATCTTATATTCATATATTCTTTCTAAATTGTATTTATTAATAAAATTTATATTTCTACTAATGTCCATCAGCATCAATAGTTAAACGATTTTATCACTATTATCATCTCAACTATACAGATTCAAAATTCCACACGGACATTCAAAAAAGAAAAGGAAAATTTTTCTTTCATTTTTATGATTCCACGGTCAGGGGTTTTATCAAACATATATTATCAACTCAAGATGTACTGTCCTCTGATACCAAAATGGCTCACTTGATTAAAAAATAATAATAAAAGCCAGTATTACTATAATAACGTTTGGGACTTTGCTTTAGTCCATCACGTTGTAGATAGCACACATTTACCCTGATGATGTCAGAGGCACATGGCTTCTTTCCAGTTGGCTCATTTTAAATAAAATTATCAACGAAATGGTTTCCTGTTCTACTCCGAAGCAAATATGTGGGCCTCTTGATATACAGGACAAACCGTAACCAATCTGTATTTTAGCAAATGAAGACACCAGGGCATGACTATACACAGCATGACTCAATACATTCCATCAGATTACCTCATACTAACTGCTTTCGCAGAGAAGCATAATTTAGAGATTAATTTAAGGTTAAAAGAAATCACTCTGACCTCCCACATCAGGGTTATATGAACCTTTTAGGGGCTCCCACAGCACTAATCAAACTTCCTAGCATACGCATGAGGGTGTCAGTTTCACTATTTAATGAATTGCTTAAGGACACATTTTGTGTTCACACACTGCTTGTCTAAAAACCAAGACGGGCACACCACAAATGTTCATTGAACACAGCCGACAGAATGGATGTCAGAAGTCACAGGCTACAGAGTCACAGGAGGAGGAAGTTTACTGGACAAATCATACCGTGTCTAGAGAAGCAGCAGCTCGGAGATCTGGCAGAAAGCCAACCTCAAGAAGATGGAGAAGGAAATCTTGTACCTCAACTCCATAGACCCTGTCAAGGAACAAAACCATGGCTGCCTTGTGATCTGGGCAAAACCCCGCAGACATGTCAGGTTCCACCACATTCCCATCTAAAAAAGAGAAGGTGACATGTTGGTGTCAATAGCCGGGCCATATGATTACACATGGCTTCTTCCAGCTGGTTCATTTTAAATAAAGTTATCGATGAATTGGTTTCCTGTTCTACCCTCAAGCGTATGCTACATTGGCTGAGAAAATACAGCAATGCAATTGAAACCCGATCATTTCATTATCATTTGGGCATCTACTTGTTAACTGCACACTTGGCAGTGACGTAGCACTACATGTATTAGATAATGAGAAGGAAACAAACCACTGAATCTACTTTGTTAAACAAGGACAAAAGGGTTACAACATCACTTGGAGATTTCTCATTTGTTGTCGCCATCCCCTCAAATACATAGGAGGTGATAAAACTGAGAGGTGTCCACTCACAAAGGTCAGGGAGTATCTGAGCTGGACCCACATGGGCTGGTACACTGCCTTCCTCCCCTGGGGCACCCATAGCATCCTTGTTCTTCCTCCACCCAAAATTAGAGCCTCAGAAAGGTTCATCAGACAAATGTCCCTGGACCGATAGCTGCCAACCATGGGCTTGCTCTAAATCTTCCTCTTTTGTATTATACTGGGCCACACTCTGGGTCTAGAATGAACCTGATTAAAATGGTTAAAAGACTTTAGCTAATACAAAGAGGGAAAAGATCTTTAGAGGTGAACTTTACACACTAAATATAAAACCTATATATAATAACCAAAACTGCTGCTACTTGACGATGTTTACAGAACCAACTGATTTGTCATTGAAACCCATAAAGGCATATTGGTATTTTAAGTTTTTGAGGTGAATGCACAGACATAGAGAAACAAAAACATACAGATTTCTGTTTGCATTGCCCGTAAAGCAAGCAGTAAAAGAAAAACAATTTACTAATGACCGATGTGTCTTAAAAATTAACTCACTGTGATAGTTTACAACAAGAGGAAAAAAAGATTTTAACTTTTGATGTAATATATTTATGAATAAAAACATCACAAAACAATATGACTAGAGCTAAGCAGAATGGGGAAGAAAGCAACTTGAAAATTCATGGAGGCTGCTGATGGTGAACATGTGGAGGAAACTGAAAGGGACGCCGGGTACCCTCAGGTGGTGACCCTTACTATGACCAGTGTCATCACACCAGATAGCACTTCTCCACTCTCTAACCTTCATATAACTGGCAATATCTTCTGCTTGCCTGACAGGGTCAGTTGTGTGGCTCACGACATAGGGGAAGGAAGAGACTCTTTTACATAAACAAAAAAGGAGTGAAAAGACAGCAGGTGATGACTAGGAGGCACAATGACATAAACTGCTGCAAGCGCAGCAGGCGAAGGGACGGTTTTCAAGCTCCAGCTTTAAAATGGCAATGAGTAGCGGATTATGATGGGAAGTCTGGTCTGCAAGGCAAGCGCACAGGAGACTTAACTTGCCTGTTGTCATGCGTGGACAAGCAAGGGCAGCCACTTGACAATGAGCCCCTCACTCTAGCCTTGGGATAGTCACAGCTGCCCTCTGAGTGCTAACTCGTCAAAGACAAAGATCATAACATGTGCTTCCTAATTACGTTCTTTTCTAAAATTAGAAGTTTAGATAAAAATGATTTGTAAATATCCAGTGAAGTAGTAGAACAACTGAACACTGAAATATGAACAAGGAAAAACCAAGTGCAGTTTGGGATCTAGCAAATCTTTAGGTCATCTCCAATCATTCCTTAAATATTTAAAACTTTTTCTCCTGTGTCTTGAAATGCACTCTTCTGTTAACATACAGGAAATGTTTAAATCTTGGAGTCAAAAAACTACAGTCGTTACTTCAAAAAGCATTTTAAGGAAGTGACAATGAAAACCACCAAAGAGCATGAATTAAGGGACAGGGAATAGGGGCCCATCATAGAATAGGAACAGGAGGAGGAGACAGTAAAGTGCCTATTTCTTCTTCTCTGGACACTGCCTGGTATGTTATGCGAAAAATAATAAAAACTGCATCAAAATATAGTTTTTAAAAAACAATGAGAATGGAAAATGCTGTCTGAAATGATATATTTTATAATTCCTTTTTTATAGAAACTTAGGCAGCATGGCCACTGTGTGGGGAGGGGGTCGCTGAGTACTGACAGTGTTATTTAGAAACCACGCCTTCCCACATCCTATCAACTGTCACCAAACAGAAGGTGGCCTTACCTTTGGCTATTGTTGGCATCTGGAAAGCGATGCTAATGACTCCCACCAAATCTCCCAATGGAATTAGGGATCTCAAAATAGACCTGATTCTGATGGCTTCCCCCTTACCAGCATGAATCAACTAGACAGGGAGAAAGATAAAGCAACATTAGAATAAGTTTGTGAAATCCACGTCACAAGTCCAATCCTGCCTAGGAAATCTGGAATAGGGGAATATAAATACAAAACAAGTTTCCGTTAGGACTACACACAAAGCTGGACCTCTCCCACACAGTGTCTCAGGCTGAGAGACAGATATCTACTGGCCCATGGTGCTCATGACTTCAGCACGCACAGAAATGTATAAACTACCATCTGGGTTTACCCACTAGAATCACCGTTTGGAATCTTCTTTGGAGTATTAAAACATTCTGAAAATGTGCTAAGTCTATGAAAGCTCACTACTCACAACAACACAAAGGACTAAACATTATTTGTAGATGCAGAGCATGTACTAATGTTCAGGACTGACTTGGCATTGTTCTTGCCTTCTGATGAGAAATTAATTGCATATCCATCCTTATCCCACCCTATTTTCCCCCGGGGTAGATTTATGATGTTGGACGACGAATGGCGAACGTGAATCCTAACAGTCCCTTAGTAACTGCCACTGTGGTCATTAATCCTGATAGGTCAACTTGGTTGGATCAAGAAATGCCTACCAAATTATTGAAGCATACTTCTGTGCGTCTGGATGTGTCTCGGTGGGTTAAGGAGGCGTAGCTGGTGCCTAACCCATTCTTCAATGGCTTTCTTTCCTTGCTGTTTCCTGACTGCCATGAGCTAAGGAACCTTGCTCTACCATGAGTTTTACCCTGATGTTCTTGCCTTGGAAGCAGTTTAACTGCAGACTCTGAAACTGTGAGCCAAATTAAAACTCTCTCAGTTTAAATTGTGGGTGTCTGGTGTTGTCTTAGCAACAGAAAAGCTAACAAATACAATGACAGTAGATCAGGATACAGTCAAGAATTTCAGCGAGGTTTTTATAGCCAGGGCAGGTGTATCTGATAGCCACAGGGGCAGGAAACGTACATGCTTTCTAATAAGAAGCCTCAGCTCATAATTGCAAAGACGAATTAATTTCAGAAGTGTCAATGCAAATTGTTGCTTGATTCACTTATTAGTGCTGCCCCTCCTTAACAAAAAGATACGACAACAGAACAAAAAGCTTCTACTTCTCATCATAAATTCTTTTTTTAGTTCCTCTGATCTTTCATCAAGAGGAGAAAAAGAAATATTATAGGGGCCAGATTTAGCTCAGTGGTTCGGTGCCCTGTCTTGCAAGCCCAAGGACCCGAGTTCAATCCCCAGTACCAAAAAAAAAAAAAAAAAAAAAAAAAAAAAAAAAAAAAAAAAAAAAAACATTATCAGCATCAAGTTTTTTTTTAATCTGCAATCACCTCAAGCACACACATTTTCCATAATCTGTTTCTATTTACTAAAACTGAAAGTGTCATTAGCAGCAATGGCTAAGTTTTTACAAAAACCAGACTCCAAGTTTTCTAACATTCTAAAATTTCTCTCTTATGATTCTTTCCTTCTCATAATGGAAATGTACATCTAGCAAGTTTTGACACAGAAGTGTAAAAGAAAGACACCCCAAGCACCAGCAAAGCAAACACAAAAAGGAGAATGGCAAGCAAGTTTCTCTGGCTTCCTGTCTTAGTTTAAAAGTGACTCATAAGCGGGTGCAGAGGCATGTGCCTGTAACCTCAGCATTCTGGGAGGTTGAGGCAGGAGATTTCAAAGTTCAAGGGCTGCTCTGATGATTGAGGGAGATCTTGTCTCAAAATAAAAAATAAAGAAAACAGCTTGGGCTATAGCTCATAGCAAAGGTCAATCTTCTCTACCACAAACAAACAAAGTGAGCCGAAGCTCCTTACCATTCCAAAAAGGACTGGTCAATGTGTTTCAAACTCTGAGGTTGTTTCCCATCCATAGGTCATGAAAATAGTTTATGGGTACTGGCTATCATTTTTAAGACACAAATAGTGTAATAAACTAAAATTGATTAAAATAAAATAAACTAGCAAATACCAGGTTGTATTGCAGAGTAAAATTATTATCTCATGAAGCTCTCATTTCAGTGTCACCACCATCTACTTTCTCCTAATCCAGTACAAGCACATTAAGCTAAAAATTGCACAAAAGAAATCAACTTCATGGGAGTAGCCGTCTTCTTCAAAAAGGGAAACAGAGCAGGAAAACAATCCATTCTTTTCTTCTCAAAATGTAGAGAGAGACCAAAAGTTTCACAGAAATATGGGTAACTAAGTATTCCATTAATGTCCTGTATTGAAATCTCATTACTAATTTTTATAGGCAATTTCCATCTAAACAAACACTTGTTCAGCAATTGGGCTGTAGCTCTTGCCTTTAATGGAGCATGAATATGATTGGTTCTGAATGGTGCTGTGAGTCTCACCACCCATGGGCATCGTAACACAGACAAATCCGGAGAGGAATCCTGCACCCCAGGGACTCACATGCATCTCAGGGGCACAGCGTCCCAGGAGGTCAATCAAGGCCGCATAAAAGGTCATGATCGCATTCCCCATATGGATGGTGTCATCTTCCTCCTCCTCAGTGTCACTTTTGTAGATTTTTCAAAAGAAATAGAAAGTAAACAGAGTAACAGTTCATGCTAAGCATACTTCTCCCAGGGGAAAGAGACATCATCTAAGGTGACGTGTTATTCTTCTTCTGATACTTTTCACGTATCTTTGCAATTTACGGATTGACATTCTTAAAGGAAAATAACAGTCAGTGAAGGATCTGAGTTAAGGATTCCTTACACATCCTTGGGAACTTTGGTATTAAGGTGCCCTCAAAGAGGAAAAAGAAGAACTGGTAATTCTATGGATTCTTCTAATTTATAACAGTAGAGCATTAAGACAGAAATTGACGGAAAGACTACTTTGTAAATTTAAAACTACTATTATAAAGAGCACACATGTAGAGAAAAGGTGGTGAAGATGTCATGTACTACCAAGTGCTTTGTCCAGAGTAATACTTAAAATGTTATTCCATTTATGTAGCTACCACTACACCATCTACCTTACCTTCACCTACTTCACACAAATAATCGAACATCTGTCTCCCACTCTCCAGAGGAAAAACATAAGGATTCTATCGTCTTGCTAAGAAGAGACAATCTGTAGGCTCATGTCCTTCCTCTTTGGTCACCAGGCAGAGGCTGCTTCAGCTGGACTTGGTGTCTGTAGCGTGGTATTAGGATCTGGGCTGACAGCCTCATTCCCAGGCACAAGGCTGGTCCTACATTCCTCATGTGTGCACTTGCTAGTGAGGTCCTGGACCAGAGGCCTCTGGGTATGTTTTCTGCTCTGAGAGAAAATAAGTTCCTTGTGGCTGATACAAAGGTAACGTTGTATGTATGCACGCATATGTGGGGTATGGGTACGGATGACGTTTTTGGTTCATGGAGTCCTCCTAGTCTGGAAATCTGGCTACAGTGTGGACAGAACATCAATGTCTAGTCTACATATGAAAGAAGAAGGGTTCCAAGATCTCTGTCCACTTTATTTCTTGGCCTGAAAGTTTGTCTTTAATTAGCTCTTTTTTATCTTTACCAGAGGTGTTGATGTTAGCAGTGTGAATACAAGACCCCCTAGAAGACATTCACCATTCACCTCCACAGACCAAAAAGACCCCAAAACAAATAAACAAACAAAAAAAACTATGAAGATAAAAAAGACATGCCTGGACAGAGGTAAATCTAATCTGTAATTAAGTATTAACAAAGTGTTCTACGGAGAAATGGAAAATAGTGGCCACTGCCCATCTGCCTCCACTATCTTAACTGAGACTTCTACTCAGAATGACCCCTTCTTTCCTGGACTTATCCCTGTCCCAGTACAGGCAAGTCCTGTTCTGCCTCTCTCTCCCTGAAAACATCCTAGGAAAGCAATTGAATTAACTTCTCACAGGCCTCTCGTCCATAGTCAAAGATTCACATCCCATCATGTAACCACTCACTTTGCCTGCTCCCCTCTGAACATCCACAAGATGCCGCTGCTCTTACAACCTTAATTTTTCTCTACTAAATCCACACAGTCTTCCTGGGCTTCCTTTCTGTTCATTCAACCTATCCCAAAAGCAAAATCTGTCCACTGTTTCATGTATAAAACATTCTATTTTCAAGGGGAGAAGGCTTCAGTATCAGAAACTATACTGCAATCAGCAAAATGTCAAATATATTTTATCAGCTTTATTCAAACGGTCATGAGTATTTTAATCAAATACACATGAGACCTACAGGGTTCTACTCGATCCGCTAGTGGGTGAGGGGCCGTCTCGGGATGGATCCTCAGCTATTTTTATGGCTTCTTCCATCGCTGCCAGGAGACCATTGCCACCTTCCCCTCTCAAAGCAGGACCAAAGCACTCAGGCCTGCGGATGAGCAATCTCACCACAACATTTGCATTTTCTTCCACACTCTCCCCTAAAGACAAAAGGGGAACAAAGGCAAGTTTTGATTGTATGGAAATTCTGAGCAAAAAAAAAAAATCTAAATTAATAAGCAGTTCTTACATAAAGAAATAAAGACCCAAGAACATGCTATCAAGGTCAAAATTTCACCCAAATTACGAGATTTGTCTACAAAAGCACAGTTGCTTTTCTTCACTTAGCATTTTCAAAGCAGAACAAAGGATGATGGAGGCATAAATTATTCATTCTCCTTAACTTAAGATGGAGAAAGTTGTCATTATGCTGATTATTAGAGCCCTATTATAAAACTGTGAGAATTTAGGTATCTAAAGATTTTAATTTAAATCATGAATTATCAATTTAAATATGTACTACTTAATACCCTTATTGTTTATAAAATATTCAATTTCTTTATCAACATTCATGTTTTTCAAGAATATGCTAAAGAATGAATCGCTATTTTCTTGCAGTTTTAATGGTGAGCAAAAATGATCTCAAGCAGTCAAGTCCTACCATTACAAAAGACAGCAAATCTAAGAAAGTCGAGGTATCTCTCTCCTTCGACTGGATTCCACCCAATGTCTGGATAACCCTTGGACACCAGCATCTGGCAACTCTGCAGTCCACATCCAGCCAAATAACGAACTACCTACAAACAAGAGGATAAGCAAAGTGACACTCTTTGCATAAAAGTCACTGGACACTGACATTACGTATGGTAACTGATGTAACCACAGTCACCGCAAAGGATGATTTAAAACAATGTGTTTTTGCAAGTCCTTTTCAACCTCATGATAATCCACAGGTATTTCCTTTAGTAAAACCTCAGAATTCAGAAATATTTAAATATAATGAAATATGGTCATAAAAAATGTTGAACCAGATCTATGAAAGAACAATATTTCTGAATTTCATATCATTTATTTCGAGACCCTGACCTATAACAGGTATAAACTTTGATAAACTTCCAAATGTCTCATGACCCCTGGCCCACTGCAAAATATACAGCCCCTCTGAGATGTAGAAAAAAATCTATCTGATATGCATACAGTATATATTTTTTAAAAGTGACTTAACTTTAAAACAAGTCATCAACTTAAAAGGGTAATGGATGTGAGCAAACATACAGAGATGTAGAAAAGCCCTAAACTTCGAGGCAAATAGTCTTTATTTCAATCAGACTGACACGACCCACTGCATTCATCATTTCAAGAAGTTACTTATGTTTCTGGAGTCACGGGTTCAGTGTCAGCAGCAAGAACAGAGAAAGTGAGGGAAAAGGGACAAATAAAGGAATTAAGATGCATTCGTACATATGCCAACTCTATACAATCAATATAAATATTATATACTGCAAACGTGTGCTACATTAAAAAGAGATATATGAAAAAGGCTGAGCATTTCTAACTCAAACATTTAAAAATCCAAAATGGTCCAAAATCCAAAAGTGTTGGAGTGTCCACATGAAGCCACAAGTGGAAAAGTTTACACCTGACCTCGTATGATGGGTTGAAATAAAAAATGCAGGTGCACTAAAATACTCTACAACATGATCTTCAGGTTACGTGGATAATGTGTTCAGACTCGGGTCTCAACCCGAAGATACCTCACGATGCACATGCAAGTATTCCATAATCCATAACAAAACCTGAAGCTGGTAACACTTCTAGTTCCAAGAATTTTCAATAAAGCATATTCAGCCTAAAATACCACCTACTTTCCAATATGGCTGAAATGAGCACACTAAAAATTTCTGCACATTATCCCCTTTTAAAATATTTTGCTCAATGTGAATGCTGGTCCTCTACAATATTTCATGAGAGATTCAGTTTTAAAAGAAACTCCAAAAGGAGTCATTCTCGATCGTAGTAGCCTGTTAAGAAATCTATCAATCAAATTTAGTTATATCCAGCTGAAGGTAAATTAGTTTTAAAAAGAAATGCATAGCACAGCTGGAAATTAATAGCAACAATATCAATGTAGAAATGATGCACAACTAATTCATCTGTGTAAAGTATAAGTTCAATGAGCTTTCAAAGATGCCTATCCATAAAAACAGCCACAATCAAGATGCAGCAGATTTCCATCACTCTTCAAAGGTTCCCCTGTTCTTTGTGGTCCCTTCTTCCCTGTACTTGAGCCCCAAACTACTTACTCTTGCTACCAACTGGCTTTCATCTCCTGCAACATTTATACGTATAATCATACAGTATGTATCTTTCTGTACCTGACTGCTTTCACTCAGAAAAATGACTTCAAGAGTCATTGACATTGTACCCTAAGTCTTAATTCTGTTTTATTGCTGAATGGCACTCCACTATATACAGTGTACCACTGCATGGATTTGGTAATCCCCACAGTCAGTTTCTTCAGTTGCTTGCAGTTTTTGCAATGATTAATAAAACTGCTATGAACATTCATTTCCAAGTTTTGTGTGTGGACATGTATTTTTCCTTTCTGTTCAATAAATCCCTAGGAGTGAGAATACTAGATGTATAGCTCACAGCAAGTGTGTGTTTAAACTGATACAATGCCAAAGTGCTTTTCAAATTAACCGCCCCATTATTCACCCCAGTGTCAGTTTAGGAAGGTTTCGATCACTCCCGTCCTCCTCTACATTTGGTGTAATCATTGTTAATGTGTGTATAGATGCAAAGATTTCGGGTAACACATGGGAGGAAAGTCTCCTGAGGTGGATCAGAGCTGTACTCCTGATCCTGGCCTGGTGTGCCAGGAGGATTTGAGAGGAGTTTGCTCTTTTCACACTGGCCACACCTGTGCACAGAGCATCAGCGCAGCACTAATGCTGCTAAGACCAGGAAAAGCAGTCAACAGAGGGAAAACTCTCGAAGCTCACTGACATGAGTATGCGTGCATATATGTAATACATATCCAGTTATGTGCTGCAATAATAATGCCTCAGCCAAAGGTGAACTACATGCATGACCACAGTCCCGTAAGGTGTCTCCTACTGATGCTGTAGCTGTCTTAGTCTGTGTAAGCACACACTATCTACAGCATCTGCACAACAACAAAAAATTGCCTGGCGGCGCATTTCTCACAATGTATCCCTGTTAAATGATGCATGATTGTGTATGTGTGTGTGTGTGTGTGTGTGTGTGTGTACATATATACTTTAAATATAAACATCTATATAAGTTAAAATGTGTGTATATGTAATACACACAAACGTATTTTTCAGCCATGGTGAATAAATCAGTGAAGGGACTAGGAGGCTCTTAAGGAAGGAGGACAGAGTTTCAACTTTAAATACCAGGCTGTGGAGTTGCTGATCGAGAAGGTGATTTGGGTGCCAAGACCGCAAGGACAACTGGGAAAGAGCCACAGCATCTCTGGGGTAAGGATATCGCGAAATCTTGGGTTTTTCTTAGGGGTGACATAGAAAGTCTTCAGAGAGCCCAGGGCAAAGGGGTGCCGTCAGAGGGAAGGACAGACCAGAGCAGTGATGGAAAGGGGAGACGAGTGCCCAAACTGCAACCCCAAACCCACTTACTTATCGCACAGCGCCAACACGGCAGTTAAACCTGAATACAGTACCGAGGCGTTAGTTAGAAAAAACACAACCACCCATTAATCTTATGTCTTAGAAGATAAACAACAGCCATGCCGTAGGTTCCCCACCACTGCTCTAGGGTAATAAAGGGAAGGGGATTAGTTGATAACTTACAATGCGGTGGCAACTACACTATGGGCAAAGTTCTTCACCCGCTGCTCAGCATGTGTGTGGCTAAAAACACTCAGACTGCTTACCACTGATGCACTGTGCAGGGATCCATAAATGTAAGGCATGATCTAAAATGTATGTCTGAGATGTTAAAACAATTAAAAAGCTGAAACTGTATGACTAAGACAAAAGTGCCAGCAGATGTCATAAAAAGACAAAAATACCTACACACACAGATACAGTAAGTGGATTCCTCTTCCACAGAAAACTACTGTGATTGGAAAAGATACCATATCTGAAACCTCATGTTATTCATAATAACATACAATGAAATTACACAGAATGCAATACATATTGAATAACAACAGTATAATGATATACCATAATTCTAATACCCAACTTTTTATAACCCTCAGAAAGAGCTATGAGCAAGCATGGATCATGTAAGACAACCAGGGCCAGAGCACAACCCACCTTTTCAAGGTCCGGCTCACGCAAAGCCAGCGCTAGTTCGTTATTGTCCATCACAGAGGCTGCTGCCACATCCAGCGGTGTTGAACCTCTCATAGCTGGTGAGGCTAAGTCAAGCAAAGACGGGATCAGACTACGAATTCCACATAGACAGGCGCTGTTTTTCAAAACTTCATTTCTACATGCTACAATACTGCACTACTATAAATCGTTTGAAAGTTTAAATTTAAAATAATTATTTTGAATAAAAATGTCATATATTTATGTGCAAACGCGTTCCGAAATACATAAACATTATGGAATGACTCAATCGGATGAATCAACATATATTATTTCAGCTACTTAACAATTTTTGTGGTGAGAACACTTAAAATGTATTCTCTGATTTTTAAGAATACGCTGTTACTAAGTAAAATTTTGTATATTTCAGCAACTATTCAGCCCATTACCCTGAGCTCCTGGTAACCACTACTCTATTCTCCATTTCTATTAGCTCAACTTTTTACTGTTCCATTCATAAGTGAGCTCCTGTGGCATTTACCTTTCAGTGTTTGGGGTTTTCTTAATTAATTTTATTGGTGCACTTAAAGTATACGATATAATGATATTCATCATTAGAAATTTGCACCTTTGCATAATCCATCTTGGTTCTTAGTTTTTCCCCAATTCCCTGCCCTCCCTCCAACCCCTCCTTGGCCTTTTTTACTTAACATAATGTTTACCAGACTCATCCACTGTCACAACTGACACACTGTCCATCTTTCTAAAGAATTACACAGTCCTTTTTCCATGCTATCTTTATCCATTCCTCTATTGATACATGCCAAGGTTGATTCTATACCTTGGCTATCATTAACAAAGTTACAATGAACATCTGAGTGTTTATATCTGTTCAGTATAATGACTTCACTTCTTTTGGAAGAATATATGTCACACGTATGATCATGGGACAGTTTATTCTTAACTTTCTGCAGAATTTTCTCACTGTTTTTCATGTTGGCTGTATTGATTTTGATTTCTACCAAGAGTGTGTAATGGTTTCCACTCTAAACAATACTTGTTACATTTTTAATTTTATAACAGTCTTTCTAACAAGTGTGAGGCTATCTTATTATATGCTTTAATATGCCTTGGTGATGCTGAGTATTTTTACATATACCTGTTGCCCACTGGTGTATTTCTTTTGAGAAAAGTATTTTCAAAGTTTTGTTCACTTTTAACATTAAATTTAATTTTAAAATGTATTATGTACTTTATCTGAAAGATTAAATAAAAGTCATACATTTACTTACCAAGGCCAACACTGCTGTTTTCCAGTAAATAACTGAGATGATCAAACATAGCTTTTTGATTCTGCCTACTTATACGACAGAAGTAACAGAGAAAACGGCAACAGTTGGCCACCATCTTGGGAAAGGTGATTTCCTATATAAAGAGCATTTAGGTAGTTATTGAAAGCAAATGATCCTGATAAAAAGGAGCTTAAACATTGAGGTCTCAATCACATCATCAATCTACATGTGCCCATGTGTGCCAAACCTCAGATACTGAAGATCTTCAAAGACGTAGAATAATCTGTCTTGGTCTTGAGCCACTGAAAACCAAAGCTGGCACTAAGTCAGAAGCCCCATTGCCATCAGCGGGTGGGGTCCACAGTTAACCTAATACCTAAACTCAAAGGTAGCAAAGAGCCTTGGTTTAGAGATCAGGAAACTCAGTTATGGTTTCTGACTACTACTATTAGCTGTGTTTTCTTAGGAAATTATACAGTCTTTGATTGTATAATGTTGGGTTAATATGAATAATGATACTTTTAGTGAGAAAAAGAAAGGATTCCTGAGAGAATTTCTGAAAGATTCACAGTTTAGTATTTGGAACTCCATAATATGTCATTCCTATTAGGAGGAAGAGGAGGAGGAGGAGACTCCAAACCTCCTTGATTGGCACACAGCCTGTGTGCTGAGCCCCTGGACTACAAGGCTGATAGTGGGCCCTACCGGACACACCACTTCTTACCCCAGATGCTCCCCAAAGTCCTTCTTTAATGGAATATATTATGAATATCTTTTCAAGTCTTTTTAACTGGTAGAAAGCCTGATGATGGGAAATATAGTCTTATTTCTGTAATGCGAAAAAAAATCTTAAAATTTAAAGTATAGAAAAGTATTTTGTATATTTAGAAGCTATAAAATTATACTGATTTACACTAATTTATTTAATGTCAATTTACCAATTTAATTTTAAAGAACATTATTTTAAAACAAAATTTAAAAGTTCACTGTATAGTCTTTTTTTTAGTTTATTGGTACATTTTAGGTTTACAGTATAGTCACATTCATTACTGGGACCTTGTACCTTTACATGACAGGTCTTGGTTCTCATTTTTTCCCCTTGTCCCTGCCCTCCCTTCACCCCCCTCCTCCCCTTCCCATTTACAATCACTTTATTTCCATTTTTTCATTTTCTCATATTATTTTCTTTTCCCTTACTACCTTTCCCCTACTCTTCTCAATCTCCCTACACTGCTAGCCCTTTTCTTCCTATTTCACGTTGTCAATTATCTCAATAGGATTTTATGTACTATTATAGTTTATTCACTCCAGAGAAACTATTTGGTATTTACACATGTGTGACTTATTTATTTCACTTAGAAGTATATCCTCAATATGTATCCATTTTCCTATAAATGAACCTAATTTCTCATTCTTTATGGCTGAGTAGTATTCCATCTTATAGAAAAACCACATCTTCTTTATCCAGTTTCCAAATGATGGGCAAATGGGCTGTTTCCAAGTTTTACCTATCACAAACTGTGTCTCTATAAACAAAGGTGCGCATACATCACTGTGGTGTGATTCTTTTAATTCTTTTGGAAAAATACCCAGCAGAGGGATGGCTGGGTCAAATGGAACCTCTAGTCCCAGCTCTCTGAGGTATCTCCATATTGATTTCCATAGTGGTTGCACCATCACTGTATAATCTTACAACAGATATGTTCCAGAGAATCCCTGTTGAGTCCTGAATAGTTCAGAAATTGAGTGGAGCCAATTGTCTGCCTCATGAATGATGATGGCTGGATTTAACTCACAATTCAAAATAAATTAGGGTGCATTAACTTTTGAAATTCCTGGACAGCCCTAAATTAGAATAATTTAGGGGAAAGAAAATTACACAGCGTAAAGTAGAAAGATTATCACCACCAAGGAAATGACAAGTAGCACAACCAACTCTCAATCTCAAGGGTGGTGTTCTTTAAAAGCAGTCCTCTAAAGAGGATTTAAGATTGTTACGAACTCTCTGCCACCCACGTACTCAGGACATTATACTGAATAGTAACCAGGAATCAAAGACTCGCCTTTACCTTGGACTCCCCACCTCCAAGGACATTCACCATGACCTCCATCACGGTCTCGTGCATCCCAAGTGCTCTCATGAGATTAGGGTGCTGGTAAAACACTTTATTATTCATGATGTCCCTAGAAAGGACAGGGGAGAAATGGAAGAGAGCAGTGAGCTCAGAGAAAAAGTTACAAGAACATTTATCTAAGATTTTGGTAGGTTTTTTAGTAATAATGTTTGGGTATGGAAAAGTAAGAGTGGTCACAGTTAAGCCACAAATTTTAATGACTGCAACTGAATTTTTATAAAAATACTGATAGTCTACCAAAAGTGGTATATAAATTATTTGTTTTCAATGACAAGAAATGTTCTAAATATGTAAACATTCGTTACATGAAATATATTTTGGACACATTCCTAATCTAACCGTGTGTTCAGCTTTCTTTTGTTTAGAGACAACCATCAGTGTTACACCATGTTCATATATAAATTCTTTTTTTTCATTTTTTGCCTTGTGATGGGGATTGAACCCAAGGCTTTCCCATTGAGCTATGTCTCCAGCCTGTCTGTCTGTCTGTATCTTTGAGGCACAGTCCCCCTAAGTCACTGAATTTCCCAGGCTCCCAGCGGGTTGGGATGATAGACAAGAGCCACCATGCCTGGCTATATATAAATTCTTGATGTTTAAGTACCTCTGCTTTTCACATATTCTCCTTGCTGTTATTGTGACACCAGGGATTGAAGTCAAGGTCTTATGTATGCTAGACAAGCACTTTCCATTGAGCTATACTCCCTGCCCTAGTTATGCAATTTTTAGTACTACCTTCAATATTTGCATGTAAAATTACAGCAGTGATATCTTCTGCTATATTCACATTATCATTTCATATATTATGCTCGAAAAAATGCATATTCTCCAGGAGAAACTGAATGCTTATGATGTCCAGGTACAAGTAATCCAACTCATTAAAATAAACATTCAATTCTAAGAAACAGTAAAAAATACTTTAAATGATTCATATTGTTACTGAATTAAACATTACTGTAGGATATGTGTCAAAATCTAAGAACTCATTGTAAATAAAAAGCTCTGTGATTTCTATTATAATCTAAGGTCATATCAATGCAAGAGCTTTTTGCATAAAATACTTTCTTGCAAAAAACTGAAACTTTCTCCAATCTGACTTCCTTAATTGAATCACTCATAATCATCTAATAAATTTTAGTTATTTGACTTTAAGCAGATTTATAATTATACTGTCAAGCAGTTAGGTTATCATTTACTAGGCAAGCCCTTTATGTGAAATATTTCTGATACAACAAAAGTGGGCTTTTATTTAATACTATTTTGAATTTAACAATAATAAACAATGTATTTGTTAATGATATATGTGATTGTTTATGTGCGTATTTAAGAAAGAATTCATTTCTATGAAGGCATTCTTCTGGTCAATTCAAATCATATCTGATAAGAGGCTTCTTTAGGTAATATTTAAATGCTAATATTCAGATAAGATCCACGCTCATACGAAGATAACTTAACCTTTGCTTTTTGAGGATAAGCTTTTGTTTTCTGTCTTGGTTCTGTTAAACTTATCACTATCATTATTATTATACAACCATCATAATGCATTTGAAATATAACTTTGCAGTCTCTGTTCATGAATCTGGGTACCAAATACGCTGACAGCGATATACTGTTTTCTGAACTAAAGTGGCACTATGGGGTGCACTTGATTCAACTTAATTGGCTTGGAAACCACATAGAAGTTTAGTAAAGCATGTTTCTGGGTGTGTCTGGGTAGGTTATAGAGGTTAACACTGGATAACACATATGATCTTTGCCCCTTTATCTCTCAGGCTGGTCTCCCGGTCTGTGTCCTGACCTCCACAAACCAAGCAGTCTCGCTCCGGTATGTCCTTCCACCCTGATGTTTCTACCTTGGAACCGGTTCCCACAGAATGAATCCTCTGAAATCATGAGCCAAATAAACTTTTTCTTCCTTGAAGTTGTGGGCGCCTGGTACTTAGTGCTAGCAGCGGGAAAACTGATTAATGTGTACACATAAATGACATCATACAACTGTGTCCTGACACAGCTGTTTATCTCCTCAGCATAGGGGTGTCAAAGAAAAAGCTGGGTTATTCTACTTAATTACTTTTACTCAAAGAACCAACTCTAGGATTCTTGGATCTAGTTTATTATTTCTTTGTGACCTATCTTATTCATGCGGGAGGGACCTTCATTGTCTCTTCTTTTGCATTAGGGTTTTTTTATTCCTATTTCTCTTTTCATCAACTTTTAATGTTTTACATTCTAGATGTGCACATCTTCCAGCATTTTTTCTCATTACAGTTTAATTTATATAGCTTAAGTTTCTGTCATTGTGTCCTTTCCACCTTATTTTCATAGCCCCAAATTTAAAAGGTCTTTGAATGATGACTTTCAGAAAATGTTCTTTATTTTGTCATCACTTCTGAATATGGGATATAAACTTTAACCACCAAATCCATGTGACACACAGGTCATGCTATGGGATACTAAAAAGTATTTCCCTCCTCCTTTTTCCAAAGGCCCAGTACATGAAGAAAAGTTTCCTTATTATTTCTTGTGGTTGACTGCATGCTCCCCACTCACCACAGTTTTTAATGTGTTTTTATTATCTTAAGTTTTATGTATAATTGTATATTACTGAGGAACTGGAGAAAACACTCTAAGCTAATTGTCATGATTCCTTACCTTCTGCTGTAAAATTAGTCTTTAGTTGCTGAGCTGAAAAACATAATCTCTAGCAAAACAGTGACTTAATACCAGGATCATATAATCTAGACTGTATACTTGCATTAATGCACTCATTACAGTACTGATTGGTTATAAATTAGAAGACATTCCCAAGACAAAGCACATAGTTAAATAATTTACCCTAATCCACGAATCATAAGCTTCTCTTCTTCCTTGCCCATCCTTACACTCAGAAGGGAACGGATCTGCCCAAGGGAGGCCAGCAGGTTGATGGTGTCTTCTACAGAGACGCCGTTGATGGTATAGGTCTTTGGCAGCGCCCGGACCAGGCCCCCAATGCCATCGTACTGTCGATGCAGTAACACGAACATGGCCCTCACCAACTCAGGGTCTTCAATGACAGACTCCTGAGCCCACCGGACCATGGTCTCAGAAATCAACTGCTGGAGACTGGCTGTAGTGGTACCATGAGTACATTATACAAACAAGGAAAACAGGAAGAGAAGACACATCAGTCGAACGTGTCAAGTTCATAGGTCAAATCCCCAAAGTCGTATCTCTATTTGGACCCAAATTGAGAAGGCTAGGAACAGTCTTTGAAGAAGATAAACTTCATTTCAATATTATCCTATTTCAATAAAGATTAAGTCACACCAGGATCAAAATACAAAAACTTTCCTTAACAGGTATTCTTAGCATCAAACAAGCTCTTTCAAAATGGCAAACTCTTTTGCAAAATTACTACTGCCAGTCCCTAAGTAACTGACGGCATGGCAATTTATGCGACTCATCAGTTGGATCCACCATTTATTCCTGAATTTGGTCCACTATTTGGTTCCACTATTTTCCTTCCAGAAGATCTGATATGAATATCCTTATAAAGGTCAGTCATAGATTTTAAAGATATGTGCTTATCCAGCTGCTTATCTTCAGTTCAGTCATTTGCAAGAGTGACCACAAATAATTATGTTTTTATTTAAATGAGAATTCTGGACTGTCACTTAAAATATCTTCAAAAGAATTTGATTGTGAAGATATATTAAAATAGGATGTTATTTCAATTGTACACCATTATTTCTGATATAACATGAAACACTATTTATGTCAAAATAATGCAAACTTCCGAATCTCTCAAAGGAACTTAGCCAAATTACGTGGGGTTGATGTGACTGATTTATATACCTAGTAAGGTACTGTGCCATAATAGATTTCCACAAGTCTCAAAATCATAGTCATTAATAAGATCATAAATCCACTAACAACAAATTGTGGTTAATAAAAACCTTTGAACTATAATTTTGAAGATGACCTGAGTCAAACTTGGTTGTGACTCTGAAGAACAAATTTAGAAGTAATTACATGGATGAAGGGTTTTTATTGTAAGTTATTAAAACTTTTAGTGAATGTATTACTTTTTTTCAGGAAAACCCCTTAACGAGCCAGCACTGCATCTTAAAATCATGACACTCTTCAAAGTGGAGTAATAAGCTAGGTCCCTAAGAAGTTCTGGGTACCCCCATCAGGATGACCATGCCGTGCCCAAGGAACCCAGAGCTGAGGGGGGTTATTTTGTTCCCAGGAGTAGCACCCTTTGTTCTCAGTTAAATATGACATGTGATCAAAAAATACAGGGAATGTCTAAATTAAACAAAATTATTACAATAAAAGATGCATTGCTCTTAATTCTTCTCAAAATGCTCCTTCTTGCTTCTCACATTCATACCCTATTCTTCTAGCCATTTTCTGGAGCAGTCCTGGAAGCCTTTCACAAGTGGCTTAGGTTGCATTTTTGCAGCTGCCATGATGTTGATATCCTCAATCAAATTAATATTTACCTTTCATCATCATTGTGACACCGAGGATGAGCTAGAAGTTGCACAGTAACAGGTCTGATGAAGAGGGTAGAAAAGGACATAGCACAATATTTTCATGAGCCTTCCTTTTCATTGCATGACACTTGGCAGCAGTACTTACCATATTTTTTATTGAACTTTGTAAATAGTGAGAGAGTATTTACAGGGGGATGAATGACAATGTGACTTTACCGTGATAATTTTTTTCATTCTAAGATGTACTGTAGTTTGCAATCACACTGTATAGGATAAGGATGAACCAGAAAGGCATAACACTTTGGAAATGTTTTAAAACCAAAATATGGTTATAATCAGTACCTGTTCAGCTTTTAAAAGAAAGGTTTATTTTGATGCAATCACTTTAAAATCAATTATAAGCATAGTATTTATACATGAGGGCAAAATGTCTCCCCTTAAACTTTCTATGAGAGTATCTGATAAAAAAATCTGAATTACTTCTTTTGAAAGCCCATCCACCCGTGTCCTGCTGCAACCTCTCACCCTGGTCCTGAAAATACAGTTTGTCACCGTTGGCTACTTCTAGGAGCTATCACCATGAAGTTAAGATTCTGATTCTGGGAAATTGTGAACTCCAAGGTCTTGCTAGATTTTTGGAGTATAATATTCATTCACTAAAAAAAAAAAAACTCAGTATGATATTCTTTCAAGAGTAAATATAAGAGGAATGTGCACTCATTAATAAATGTCATGGTCAGGTTCCTGTGCCAGAATTCATTCGTATGCTTACAGGATTTCTGGGCATCACTTGCAACTGGCTTTTCTGCTTGTTTCTTCTTCAGGTATGTCACCTTTTCCACCAAGGACAGCAGGCGTCCTCTGATGGTTAAATCACTGTTACCATCCAGAGACCCATCTTCATCAAGCTCAATCCCTAGCATGGGAAAAAGCAAAGAGAGTAATCGAGAATTCTGCCTTCAGATGCCATGGACCTAACCAATCCACCACATCACTCATGCCCAATTTCTAACCTCTCTTCCCACCAAAAAGGTCGGTTGTATTTTGATAACTTGAGAGACAAAGAACAGGCACAATTAGGTGTCCTAAACCAGGGAATGCTTTATATCTGTGCCAATAATTCTAATGTTTTAGAGTACTCCTTTCTTTATATTATATGCATGGTATAAATTCAGATACTAAGTGACGCTTGTCATTCATAAAATGAACACATGTGTTCTCTTCATTTAAAATAAGATAAACACAGTTCCACTGGTGATGTGTGTGTGTGTGTGTGTGTGTGTGTGAGTGAAAGAATAACTAATTTATTTTCTTTCATTAAATGACAGGGCTTATCTATATCATGTTATAAAGGAATAAAGAACTATACATATAGAATATCTCATCAATTCTCTTTTGGGTTTTTTGTTGTTATTGTTGTTTTTAGCTTACTGGTACATTTTAGGTATACAGTACAGTTTCATTCATTATTGGGATCTTGTACCTCTACATGACACGTCTTGCACCCACCTAGAGCTACATGTCCCCCTTACCCCTTCCCTAACAATGAGGAAAGAGGGAGAAAAGAGAAAATTTCAGTCATCTTCAGCATGGTCTTACTGCCTCTCTGATTTTTCAGGCCCCCTTGAACTGCCACATAGTTTGCCATAGGAAACATTCGTATATGAACTTCTAAGTTCTAATACACAGAGACGCTAACACCCTCCTCACAGAGATACCATTCAAATATGTAGTGAATCTTATATATGGATTAAAAATATATATTTATTGTTGTAAACCAAGGAGATGTTACCACAATGTGTCATCAAATCTTCATGGAAATCCAAGAGTTGGTCACGAATTTCTTCAGGACATGGACATTCACTTTTGTCATCCTTAAAATTGAGAAGCATATTGATCTGAAAATAGAACAAAAAAGAAAAATAGCAAGAGAAAAAAGGAAATTTCATGAATTATACAGAAAAAGGAAAACTAAAGGTGTTCAAAATCAGTTTTCAAGTATTCACAAATTATTGCCCAATAAATGAAAAAAATCATTGTATTTACTGTTCCATCAAAAAATACATTTGTAGCCAGGCATGGTAGTGTACGCCTGTAATCCCAGCACTTGGGAGGCTGAGGCAGGAGGATTGCTGTGAGTTTGAGACCAGCCTGGGATACATAGTGAGTTCCAGGTCAGTCTCAACTACATAGGGAGACCCTGCCCCCTCACAAAAAAACATTTGTATCACAAAATAAACCAAATCATCCAGAGTTTAGCAGGATAGAAAATAGTGACACAATGTTGATCTATTTTTCTGAATTTTACTATATGACAGACTCTTGCATACTTTTAGAACACTTAACTAAGGGATCTACTACAATATTAATGACTCCGTTAAACTGTAGGACACTTTCTTCCATTTGTTTTAGCTTTAAATAGAGTAATAATAAATTTAGAAATGAATGCTATCCCATATTTAAGAAAATTTTTGTGATGCTTTTGCTAAATTTTTATTTTAAGATAACTAAAGATTCATGTACTACTGTTCGAAATAATACAGAAACTGTACATGCTTTTTACCCAGTCCTCCGGCGGCAACATTTTCCTGTCCTTCTCAACTTGCCACACAGACAGCAAAGCGTTTTGTCATAACAAATAATATTTATTGTATTAGAGTACAAAATCACCAGTACAGCCAAAACACTGGACAATTCCTTTGCCTCAACAGCTCCTTTTGTGACCCTTTTATGGCTGTACCCTCCTATCACCTCTTCAGCCTTAACCCAGCAACCTCTAATCCATTTTCCATCTCTATAATTTTGTCATTGTAAGAAGACTTTTAGAAGCAACATACAGTGTATATACATTCTCACATAGCCCATTTTTCAAAAATAAAAGATTTGACATTTATATATAACTGGTACAATATTATATTTTGATACATGTATCACTATATGGAGAATAAATCAAGTTAGTGTGAATTAACTCTGTTAGGAATCATCATCTCATCTATTTGTCTTTATGTATGGGAAGGTGGTAAGAAAATTCCATGTAATCTTTTGCTGGCTATAGGAGCTGTACTGATTTTCCACTTCATTTCTGTTGAGTTTAATTTGTATATTCTCTGTTTTCTTTGCATTTTTTAGAGTTTGGCCACTTTATTAATCTTTTAAAATATAAACAGATTTTGAGTTCATTTTTTTCTATTGTTGTCTTGTTTTTCTAGTTTGTTGATTTCTGCCCTTGTCCATGCCAGTTCTTTTGTTCTGCTTATTCTTATATTTAGCTCTTTATATTTTAATTTTTTAAAGTGGCATTTTATGTTACTGATCTGTTTCCCTCATTTAAAGTGTGAACATTTAACGTCATAAATTTTCATGAGTTATACCTATTTTTTTCAGCTTGGTATATTTTTTAGTTTCCCTTGAGACTTCCTCCTTGAATGAATTATTGGAAACTATATTGTTGAGCTCTTAAGAGCTGAAAGATTTTTCGGAATTCTTTTGGTACTGACTTCTAATTTCACTCTAACATGATTAGACAAAAAACATTCTGTATCATTTTAAGTCTAAGAAATTTGGGGGGGATCATCTTCTAGCCCTGGCTATGGTCCATCTTCGCAAAGTTTCATGCACCTAGAGATGAATGCACCTTCTGTCATTGGGCGGAATGTTCTACAAATGTTGACAGGCTCATTATGTGATGATATGATGAGTTTTCCTATACTGGTTTTTATGTCCAGCTATTCTCTCAATTATTTAGAGCAGTTTTAATGTCTGTGGGATAATTGTAGATCTCTCTCTCTTTTTGGTTCTAAAAGTTCTGGCTTTATATTTTTACAGCTCCGTTTAGTGTGTGCCCATTAGTCTTCTTAGCAGACTGACCCTTTATCACTACATACTACTCCGATCTCTGGCACTTTTTTTTTTTTTTTTTTT